ACATGCAAATTCATCTTGTTTCATAGTTTTCTAAAACAGACTTTACTTGAAATTGCCATAATGATATCTAATACTTTTTATATTAATTTTAATTTTTTCTAGAAGCACAAAGAATATGGGAGGTAAACTATTACTTTGTCTTGTAAGAGTCGCTGATTAGATGTTAGGGAGAATGAAATTTGATAAATCAAATTTCAGCAAAATATCTTTAACTGCAGTAAGACTGAAAATTCAGTGACACAATTTTCTGGGAACATGCATCTATTTAGATACATGCATCTTCGTAAGGCTTCATTTTCAGCTATGATGTCCATTCAAGACAAGTGTTGGTTTAAAATGAACTCTGGATTCTAGAATATTAAAGCATAGTTTCATAGTTAATGAAGCATTGTCACTCATACTGACCCCACTAAAATACTAATAATAACATGTTTAAAATAAGATATGTATTCTATAACTATCAGAGAATATATTAAATAATTTCATATTTATCTCACTTTAAAATAGCATATATTAAATATGTTAGTGTAGCAGTACATGGATATGCTGTTTATCATAAAAATAGTGAGATATATTTTAATGCATCTTATAAGATTACACCCAGAAAATCCCAAACTTTAATGTCTCTTAAAGTCATCCTGGGATATATATTGCTAAGATGTGGTTTCTGCTCAGGTATTTATCCTCATGCCACATTTTAAGACTGCAATGTCAAGTTTGGTAGGGTTGTACAATTAAAGGTATGTTTGGGGACTGCTGAAAAACATGAGCTGACAACAGTTCTTTGCTTCTCTCAGTAGTTTTGGAAGGAACTGAGCTACAGTCAGTCACTGCTTTTCTCCTTCGCAACTGCAGGGTCTGGATGAGTAATGCCCCCCCCCATAGGCTCAGGTATTTGAACATTTAGTTCCCAGATGGTGGTGCTGTTTGAGGAGTTGTAGGTGCTGCAGCCTCACTTGAAGTCACCGATAGGGAGCTTTGAGATTATATAGCCTTGCCCTACTCCCAGTCTACTCTCTCTGCTCCATGCTTGTGGTAAAGTCTGAGCTCTAAGCTTTCTGACCTGCTTGCCATGCCTGCTGCCTACTGCTATGCTGCCCCTTCCATTACAACTCTAAACCTCTAGAACCCAAGCCAAAATAAACCCTTTCTTCTGTAATTTGCCATAGTCATGATATTTTAGCACAGCAACAGAAAAGTAGCACTCTGCCAAATGTGTGCTACAGCTGTTCTATGTAGCTTTATTAGTAGGCTGAGCTGGGGTAAGATCAACATCCCTGTGTAGGAATAGAAAGAACTGAAAAGGGCACACAGTCCAGCAAAGGGCTGAGGGATAACTTGCTTCTGCCTTATAGAACTAAGTTGTGATAAGATGTGCATGGAATCTTATAGAATACTCAATAAAGTGTAGTTGTTATAGTTGGAAATGGTTGCCTATGGAGTGGGCTATAATTATCTTCAATTACTTTGAGTTTTCTTTAACACTGAGACAAATAACCATCAAAATATTACTATGTCTGAGTATGACTAAACGTTTTTAGGCTGAGACAAATATCAAAACTGCCTAAAATCACCTCAGCTATTAAAAAGAAACACACATTCATACACACAAATTCAGTAAACACCCATCAAACACCTTCCTTTGAGATATATCGTTTATCCCAGGTAAGATAGGTGAAGAAAAATACAATAATGTACTTTACAGAATCATTTATGTTTTCACATAAGAAATAGAGAATACTGAAATGACAAATTTGTTTTAAAAATAATATGGAAGGCTATCTTGCTAGTAACAATTATCTGAGCCACGTGTAGCCAGCAATGTTGTCTTCATATAGCATTATTCTGCTTTTGTTTCATTTTGTTTTTGAGACAGGTTTTCTCTGTGTAACATCTCTGGCTGTCCTGGAACTTGCTTTGTAGACCAGGTGGCCTTAAACTCCAAGACATCCACCTGTGTCTGCCTCCTGAGTGCCGGGAAAAAAAAGGCGTGTGTCACCACACCCAGCTAGCATTAGTTTTTAACTTTGCTATTATTGTGTGTGTGTTTATGTGTGTGTGGGTGACCATAATGTGTGTCAGAGTTGCACACTTATGTGACACGATGCACATACATAAGTCAGAGGACAACTTTGTGGAGTTAGCTGTCTGCTCTCTTCCACCTTTATGTGGGAACTAGGGATGGAATTTGGATCATTAGGCTTACACACTTAATGGTTTCACTGCCAAGTTATTGAAGTGGGCCCGTTTAAACTTTTTTCATTATTAATGTGTTTATTGAATAAGGTGTGAGTGCAGGTATGTGCCATGTGGCACAGCAGGCCTATGGAGGCTAGAGGACAATTTTTGTACATTAGTTCTTTGTACAGGATGATACTTGTTACCTTCTCATTTTTGTGTTCATGTGGACAAGCCATATTACCCTTACTTTAAAAAAAGTTGTTCTGCTTGTGAGTTCGTTCATGTATTAGGACTGAAATAAGCTGTGACTTTTCAAGTACTAATTAGATTGTTTTCAGGCCTGAAACCCTTGCAACACAACTTTGTGGTTTTCCTCCGTGGTGTGTTCAAGACAGTGCTTCCCATAATACATGCAGTATCAATGGAGCTGGTTACTTTTCGTGTTGGTTAGCAAAACTATTCAAGGCTATTAAACATTTTTTTAATGCTAAGCACCATACCACATCAGGCCTCTTTTCTGTACATATGTTCTTGCATTTGTATCTTATTTTATGTGACCCCTTGTTTCCTTTGCTTCTCATATTTAGCCTGGGCTGAAAGAGGCAGGCTGAATAGCCTGTATTTACAGAAATACTGATCCATGTGCCCTCTGACTCCTCAAATGACGAAGTGGGTGGAAGCAAGAACACGCATTGTGCCAGTGTATGCATAAATGCTGTCACATGTAAGGCAAGAAGCGGGGTGACAGAAAGCAAGTCACAAGTTGTCAAGAGCTCTAAATTGAAGTTTTGTTTGTATCAAGGTCCCAGAAAACCAAAGCCACATGAAGTCATGACCCTTAACCACCGCCTCTCCCACATATCGAAGGGAGGAATCAGATACTCATTGCA